GCTTACATAACTTAAATACTTCTAAAGTATTTGACACGTGAAAATTAGATTAGATTTTGATTAAATTCGTATTATTTAAAAAACCTTAAGATTTACGTATTATATTATTATAAACCTTATTAAAACAGACACTTATTTTGTTCAGCGAATCCAAAAATGCAATAATATACAGGACATTCCATTTAAAAAAACCGTAACTTTGATACCTTTAGAGCCTTTGGGACACCCTGTACATTACAAAAATATTATTAAAATGTGCTCTCGGTAGGCGTCGGACAATTCATACAAGAATACTTTTTAAAAATCAAACAGTTTAGCCGCAAACTTCCGTGCCGTATAGCGTGAATAACCCTATATAGCAATATGCAATACATGGTGGCGCAGAAAAATCTCATAACAGCGATAGCAGATTCTCAAAAAATTAGCTATGAAAAGCCATTCTTAGTAATTTTTTATAAAACTGACATGTTATTAGTAATAGCCCTGTAAGCAAATCTCACCCTTATCAAAGCAATGTCGCTGTCCAAAAGTTCACTGGAATAACTAGGATGCACCAAAACTGAATCTATTTGAATTCCTGTCCCATAGGTTGTATTGCTACCAAACTTTACCACATAGCTTGAGGTCATAGAAGCATAACTAAAAGCACCATTAAAAGTTAAAGTTTTATGAATAGTGGATTGCAGTTATAAAAATTTACCTTGTTCCAAAGCAATGAGCGGCTGTTAAGACCGTGTTTCTGGTAACCAGAGCTCCTCCGCAAAAATGCTGATTGCTGTATTGTAAGGAAACTTGATATGGATGGCTTTTTATGTCTACAGCTTCACCTCCTACTATCCTTGTGTCTAGGGTTACATTTAGGAGAGCACCTGCAAATAGAAAAGTATCACGTATTTTACTATTATAGCGAAGTTAAACAAAACTTAGTAAAACAGAAACATTTTACAAAATATATATTCAAAAGTAATACGACTAGCGACCCTGACGGAACTAGGGTATCTTGCATAGAAGCTCTTGAGAACGGAATGTCAGTTGAAAATGATGGTAGTCGGCGGATCAGGGCTCACTATTCGAATTAAATTGAATATGGTGTTTTTTTTGGAGTTTCTTCTGTAAGCAGGCGTAGTTTTCCGTATTTTGAACGGTATTTGAGGTGGCAACTTTTGAACTTAAAGCCACTTATCGTATATACGGGGTGTCAGTTTGAAAACTTTCCACCCTTAATATCTTTCTTTAATCGTCGTCATAGAGTTCTTGAAGTATCCGCATTTTGTATGGATGGAGTTTATACATTTTCTGTGCCTTTCTTAGAGTCTCGTGTGATATTCCTGACTGTTCTGCTACTGTCCACAATGAGTTGGTGGACGGACTCTGCAGCAAATAATCCCAAAACATCGATTTGGGCTCGTTTGTTCATCACTCGTAGGTTAATTATTTTTCTATTACTCAGCGAATCAGTTTCCAGTAAATCCAGCACATATTTGTGACTGAGTTCGCACTTTCCAACCTCTCCATCAACGAAAATAATTTCAGTTTTTTCTTAAAGACAATAAACTATCCTCACACTTTATCCACCTAATAAAAGTTAATATTTTTCACTAAATTTTAAGTTAGATGTGAAAACGGGGTGACCACAGTTCAATCAATAACCCTGTAAATATTTTAATGATCATGCATATGTGCCCCAAATTCCAATTATGACTTGCTTATGTTAGATCAGTAATGAGGCACGAAGAACATTTTGTATCTATATGTTACAGTAAGAAGCTGAAAACCAGCCGGAGATTAAGAATTCAAGGAAGGCGCGCAAGAAAACATAAAACAGGGCGAAGACGTGTAGATCAATAGAAGACGAGCGGTCACGCGGATGATTCTAACATTTCATCTTGATTGTAGAAGATACCGGAATTATATTTACAAACTTGCGTTTCAACTAATTACGAAATACTCATTAAAATCTATATTGCATATTGCAAAATCATCTTGTACTTGTTTATTCTTGCATTATTCTCGATAATTCAAACACTAGTCAATAATATCTATTAATGTTTGAAAAACCTGTACTCACCTGAACACAAATTCAGCCCTAAAAGGGCTAAATACACGACACTAACTATGTATTCCGACATACTGTTGCACGGAAAAATGTAACAGTTCAGACGAATCTCACGTCTGATTTAGGCAAAGCTGCTGATAAAATGTCTCCAAGTTAAACAACGTGCTATTTACCTATCACATTCATGATCAACAAGTACTGAGGCCGCAGTAAATCACTATATTAAATTCGGGATTAATAAAGGTGACTATCCATTCAAAAATAAGCTTACTCCTGTGAATTTGGTAATCCATGTTCCACGCTTACAGACATAATTTTATTCTATTCAGTAATGACACTCTCAGCTGTGCCAGGCAACATTTTACTAACTCGTTATCTTTGGTTTATTTAAGCTATTTAAATTAATTTCCACTCCCTACCTGCATTAGAACTTTGAGTAAAACGAGGTGGATCAGGATACAGGATTCATATACAGGTGTTTTTTGGGAAGCAGCAAGTATTTACGTAATGTTAATGAAGCAGATTGCCTTGAAAAACATTGCTGGTGACCTTCTGATGTAGTTTTTGCAACTATCTCAGTTTTTGAAGAGATTTTTTTTACAATTTTTCCTGTACTCCCGAAACACTAAGCGTCTGTCCAGTCAAGTCTTGTACTGTACCACCAGAGGAATGACGCCACTTTTGTATCACCCTGGTTTTGAAATTTTAAATTAACTTTTGGAAGTCTATAACTTTCATCAATATCACAAAAATAACCGTTGCCTTATCAATCAACAAGCGTAACACATACAATTAGAAGGCAGTTATGAAAAATAGTGACATCACATGATTTTCCTGATACTGCAAATTAATCACTTTTATCAATTTAGGAAAAATTCATTTCATGAAAATTGCTTTTGTTCTAAATTAACTTTACTCTAATTCTTACTTTGCTGTAATCTCTAAATAAGCTTCAAAGATGAGGGTGGGATATACAGGGTGAGTCAGAGAAGCGATACGCTCTCTTAGATCGTACAGAAAACGCGACTGGAAAAAGACATTAATACAAAAGTGTTATGCTTATCGCCAAAACTGGTAACCAACCAACCAAAGTAAGAGATATAAATTATCTGTTACTAAACTACTTAAAAAATACTTCTGGACTACAGCCTCAATCGAGTTTTAATGCTACCTGTACATCTTCACCATCATACACTTTATGTGGATGAAGATCCATCAAAAGAACCTTACTTTCTTAAACAACCTGATTTAAATTATCTCGTTATAGACTTGGAGCCATTAAAATCTAAGGCTCAGATCCTCGGATCAAGATTGAAACAGTGGAATTTGTTGGATAAAAGTACGCGAGTGTCATAATTTCACACAAGACATTCTCCAAAGAAAATGATTTAGCATATTGCAATGAGACTGCATGGCTTCTTGAGGAACCGAGTTTTTCAGAAAATTCTGATGAATGGATACTTTTTATTGATGCGTCGAAGATTAGTTTAAAAGCCGTTTTACTTCACAACGGTAATAAATACCCATCAGTGCTTCCAGCACATGCAACAAACATGAATGAAAATTATGCAAATCTGGAGGTATTACTTGGAAAAATAAAATATTCTTCATTCCCATAGAATATTTGTGCTGACTTAAAAGTTGTCGCTATACTTACTGGGTTGGGAGGAGGATCCACTAAGTTTTGCTGTTTTTTATGTGAGTGGGACAGTCGCACGAGAGAAAAACATTACGAAGTGAAAACTTATGAAAAGCTAAGAGAAACTTACAATTTAATTGATTTATAAGTTTATGTTTTAACAATGTTTGTTTATGAAATAGATTTTTAGGTTGAATGCCATCCATTTTCCAATCTATGAGTTTTTCCCAACATTATTAAATACAATTAAAAAACACATTGTTTTTCCTTCTTTTAATCCAGAAATTTAATGTCGGTAACCAGCTGCTATATTAACAAACAATATTTTACTACCTGAAATTAATTAAACCTTACTGAAAGGGTTAAACTAAAGCAACGATTATTATACGTCTTGATCGAAATTGTACAATAAAATCAACTTCCTAGATATTTTAATACATATGGCGCCACTGGTTAATTTTCAACTCTATCTATATTCCGATAAATAGCGAAACAGGATTTCGATAAAACTTAAATATGTTCTATATAAAGTTATTTTTACGAGCAATTACAAATATGGCAAATGCAACATATCTGTGCCGTAAATTCCGCATTAAGTGACCCATAGAATTGACCAGCGATCATGGATCAAGGATGTTAAAAAATTAAGTGGGTTCATTTCCAATCTTAAGTCTGGAGACGTTTTCAGATTAAAAAGTCGTACGCGTGAGGTTGAACGTGATTACTTGTTTACGACTGGCATGATAATAGCAAATGATATTGGATAACTATATTTTTTACTTAAAAAGTGTTTAGTCGAATCACTACAAGATCAAGTAGCATCAGCTTCATGAAACATTGACTTTTGTTTGCTTTGTTACCTAATAATATGATTTATAAAACATAATGTTTTAGTTCATTAGTACAATTTAAGTAGTTGATTGTTCTAAGACGAAACTTTAAATACGATGAAACTGATGGAATTGATAATTGTCAGTTGTCGAAACACTTCAATTTATATAGTAATTGTTGATTCCAGCTAAAATTAGTGAAATTGAAATGGACCTTTAGAAATGATTAGGAAAAACCGATATTAAATTAAAACTTTTGGCGCCTTGTAGCTGCAAAATGAGCAACATATAGTTTATGAATTGTTAGGAATCAGAAGACAGTTTTGAAAAATGCTCAGGAGGTTGTTCGTTGAAAATCTTTGCAAAATAATAATCAATTTTACTTTTACAATTCAACGTAGTTCGGATCCAGCCAAAAATGATCGATATGAATATTAAATTAACTTTTTTCAAACGGGCTTAATTAGTAGTTGTATATTGCTTAGTAACCCATCTTGGATCCATGTGCAACAACATATTAATGATACTTATTATTAGCCAACATTTTTGTGAAGTTTTAAGAATAATCGAACGAAATAGTCTAAAATAATATATTTCCATAAAAAATTAATTTTCATAATTGGGGCAACATATGAAGCTCAACACTAAAACCAACGTATTCCAAATTCTAAGGCGTCAGTTTAACTTTAATCCAGACAACAAAAGTTATTGCAAATGTAATTGTGTCTAGACCAATTGCGATAAAAAAAATTGCATGATTCTAACATCATTAAAATTATTTGGGTCAAATTCATGCATATTAAAATCCTTATTAATAAATATTGGTGATATTGAACAAGGCTTCGGGGTTATTGCTAAACCTTTACAACAAAAATAGCTTAAAGCCAGCAGTTATCATTTTAAAACCACACTTAGCTCACATTTCAAAAATCCAAATTTATTAGTGAAGCTAAATGAAATATTAAAAAGATGTAYGAAATTAAATTAGCCTTAAATATGCAATGGAAATAGAACACCCAAAATGTTGCGGATGTWAATTTTGACTGATATACGGGTTAATGAATCATWGAAAAGAGATCCATAAAATTAATTAAATAAAAAAAATAGCTATCTATAAAGTCCYTCTTTCTCAACATAAGTAGTAAGATATATTAAACCTTAATTCAAGGTGAGCATTTTCTGAATAGATTTTTAAATGAAATTTGGAATACAGAGTGTACATAAAATAACTCATAAATTGACTTATTGCAGTACTGATTACTGCACCAGAGCAACAGTAWGCCTGAMAAAGTTTTGYTCAAACCGATAAGTATATAAAATTTSTATGGAAAAGTATGAACTGATCCACTGCTTCCAATACTTGCAAGCGCAAGATAAAAACWARTCTAGTAAAACTATACCTKCTAAATATATCAAATTGAACAAAAAACGAAAATACGTAGTCGTGGCATTTAAATGATTTAATTAWAATAAGATTCCATAATTTTTGTATATATTTTTACGAAAAGAGTAARTTGCATATATGATAAATATCGGACACTGTAAAATTACAGATTGGTTTTTGAAGTATCTTCTATGTAAAAAGTCCATATAGGCATGGGTCCGCAACGCTTTACTTATCAAGCTACAGGGTGTTACAAGATTCTTTAAAATTTTAGTTTTTTTTAGTAATTTTTGAAATAATATTGACATTAGGACGAAACTTTTTTTCTAAATGATATATGAGAAGCAGTCTGTAAAATTTCGGACCCTTATTGAAAGACATTCAAAAAAATGCAAAAGATGCAAAATTTAACTTTACTACTCGCACTAAATCGGCATTATTAAAAACTTAAAGCAGTTTTATCTTTTGCAGTAATCGCGTGACCTATTTTTAAATGTTTCTCATCATCGTTAGAAACGCGATTTTGATCCGATGAATCCCACTTGCTTTAAAACTGTTTTCAAATTCAAAATTATTTTTTATATCTAAAACGCAATTCAATAGTTGCCACATTAATTTGATTCGGCAACTATTTACATTTTAACTTATTTTTATCACTATTACAGACGTAAAACGGCACGTTTTTAAAAGCATCAAAGTATCATGCACATCAATTACATTATTTAAAAGCACACACGCTACGCTAGGATAGGACAGAAAATTATAACTGTTGAGGTATTGTCATAATATTATGCTATTACATTAAATTGTGCAAAATATTGAAAATATGCTTCGTACGTAGTCAGCCACAAACAACAACATGAAATAAAACGTCATGCTCTATGAATCACATTTTTATAGTTGCTTTATTATATTTTCTCTTAAATCAACAAATTATTTGGCGTGTGAACTTTGGATGATAACACTATTTAGTAAGGGCAAATTTTATTATTTGAAGTAGAGACTAGGGATGGTCGATATTTAACGAACCTCTAAAACAACAGTGTTCCAGACGGGTAACCTGTAACGTGTAACCTCAGTTACACTTTTCCAGGAAGAATATTATTAAATTTTTAAATACTTTGATAAACTTGTTTCATAACAAAAAAACACAGGTATGTTAATACTTCTGTTCCATGCGAGCGATTGTTTTCCGAAGCGGGTGCTATCATAAACGAGCGAAGAACTAGACTTAGTAACAGTCATTCGCAAAAAATTAATCTGAAATTATTAATTAATTTTTAAATGAAAATTAGCTTTTTAGACATTTTCGCATGGAAAACGTATATTTTATTTAAACCATTCGATTTCATTATCATTTTTTGCTTTTTAATAGTTACTTATGACTCATGTTTTGTTTTTATTTTTTAATAAACTAAATCATTATTTATCATCACTATTTCTACCATCATCATCATCATTGCGAATTTTTAATGATAAATTTAAAAAGTAATATTGTACTTTTGGAACCGCATATTGGAACCTAATTCCAAAGTGAACTGGAACGTTGTAACCAGTTCCAGAAAAACTAAGTAGCAATGACTTATATAAAATTTGGTTTGGTCTTATTGTCACAAATGCATTATTACTAATCACTTTTCTGGCTGTTATTAAATATGCTCGCTCCTAAGTCGCATTTAGTCATGTTTGGCGCGGGGACAATAACTAAATCTACTTTTTATTTCGTATTAATTGATTATAATTATACACACTGCTGTATGACCCAAGCAATACAATGAAAATTTAAATAAAATAACAGACCTGTAGAAGACCATATAAATTTGATAAATTTAGGCCGCACATGATCACCATCATGAAACGGACATTTCTTTTACTGGCCCCAAAAAAGAATTTTATGTTTCAAGGCCAGTGTAATATAGCAACTACATCTTTACAGCTTCAAATAACAGAAACGTGCCTGTTTGCACTATAATTGAAAGTGATCATGGATGTGGTTAAATTTGTTCAAAAATTATTTGATGAGTAAATAGTCTTCAAAACTAGGATATCTGTATTAAGCCACTTATGAAAAATAATTCGCATTTTGCGGCCAGAAAACATTGTATCGAAAAGATAGATATGTATTAAATGCGATATTTTAACTTAAACTGCTCGAATAGGACGTTGATCTGTTAGATTTAATTTAATTTTTAGTTCAGAGCATATAAATCGATCTTCAACAGTAAGCACATCACTCTTAGGATCGCATTTAACACAGACACCAGAGTTACGACTATTTAAAGACTTAGAAAGCCCGCAATTTTTTCTTTTATGCTTCAGATCGCAAGTTATGCGCGTTGCATACGTTCTTAAATTTATAAAAAAAGTTGCTGAGCGGATTCAGACAGACCCGAAAACTAGTCCAAAGCGCTTATTTCAAGAAGTGAATGCACGAAGGAAGTTATCCATATAAATAAAGTACGTAATAAAGTAGCAATTGTTTCATCAGTATTATTCAGTCGATGCAAGAATTTTATCACGCGGTTATAATCCTTCCTTCCGCTTTTGCCAGTACATTAAGTAAGAGCCATGATCTTTAAAACTGTATGAAAGGGGTCGGCTCTCGAAGTGCTCTGTGTTACCAACTTTACTTACTTTACTAAGCTTAAAAATAAATCAACAAATCTACCGAAATGATTTTAAACTAAGCTTTGCTTCCTTGAGCTAGTGCGACGGAAAGTTGTAGAATTTATTTTGTGCATTAGATGATAATTTTGTGAAATGCAATTTATGCAGAGCAAAATTATTTTACAAATCAAGTACGTCGAATTTTAAACGACACAGGGAATGCAACATCCCACAATATCAATAAATTCTGAAAAATTTCGGGAAGAGGGGCGAAGTAATATTTGTATACCTATTTTCACTCACAGTTTTCACAGTAAAGTTTTGATTTCAGATCAAAAATTAAAATCAATTGATGCTTGTTCACAAAGAATTAAGAGCTACATACGCTATTCATTATTTGTACAACAATAGTTTTTGTTCCAATTTTAATTTTTTCCCGAATAATTTTAGTACTTTTAGAGTGCCTAAGTTTACAAAATATGTAGCCAGTTGCTAGTTGCAGAGGCTGTTATTTTTGAGCGTCTTTAAAATAATTTGTAGTTTAAGTATAAGATTTTGTTTGTTGTATACCTAAATAAAGTTATTTATTTTAAAATATGAATCACAAATGTTTTAAAATTGTTTCTGCAAGTGACGCACAATTGCCCATCACCTTATGACGCTGCTATATCGCGAAAACGGCAACCACAAGTGAAATCACATTCACAGGTTAAATTCACAGTTTATCTCTACTTCAAACATATTTCGTGTACGAGTATGTGCCAGTGCTCAAGACAATATAATAAACGCATCCGGTTTGGGCATAAGCACTGTCTCCTAACAAAATTCCTTTAAATTGTTATTTCCTAGGCACACGGGCACCGAACTGCTGTTAACAATCGTGCTAGTCGTATCATGAGGTCATTTTAGCCAACAAATTACAGCGACAATTTGCACATTCAGCGACATCCATTCTTTCTTCAATGTGGGTTCCATACACAAACCCGTTCACCTCAGTGATATTGGGCTATTCCCATTAAACTGATGCTTGATAGGTTGGCGGCTATTTGTATCTTCATGAAAATTATCAAATATCGGGCAATGGAGGTATTGCAAAATTGCTCACTGATGCACATTCAGGAAACTGAAGCCTGACTAAGTTCTGCAATATCAGCACAAACTCCAAAGAACAAAGCATGAATAGCATATAAGTATTTTTGTCATTAATTACTAATTTATCCGAATAGGCTTCTTTTACTTTTATACATAACATAATTTGGTTTCATTCAATCGAATTTTGCAGCTGCATACAGAATTAAATAAGTAACGTATCGCGAGTGCATGTTTCGCCGTCGCTAATTTAAAGCTAAACCCAGCTGAAAGTCCTGGGGGTGCCTGAAGTTGCCGAATCTCGAAACTTGTATTATCGTACATTATTTCTGATTCGAATGATTAATGCCGACGAAATTCTTGTCTTTATTATTGAGATTGTTTGTGATCAACATAATACAATCAATCAGAAGGACGACATACAAAGAACGGCGAAAAGAATGATCAATATTGTATAAGATTTAACTATAGAGTGAGATTTTCCTTTATCTTTTCTTAATACTTTTATTTAGGCATTTAATTGTTAACATATTCTATAAAACATTTCCAATCATAAATTATATTCTTCATATTTTTATAGAATCCCGTTCATAGCATTACACGCCCTTGGGTCCCGGTTCACCAGGCTTCTCTGTTTTGTTTTGCCAGTTATTCTCTGAGAGGTTTCCGGCTGACATCGCTTTTGTAACCCCTTGTATCCAGGTTGTTAGCGGTCTTCCTCCTTTTTCTTTCTGAAAGGGTCCATTCTAATATTTTCCTCGCCAGCCTTTCTTCCCCCATTTGTCTGTCTCTCGTCTTAAATTTTCCTGCCATAATTTTGAGTTTAGTGCCCTCACCACTTGTTTTCCATAACCGTAAAACCATTTGTACTGTGAGTATAAAATGTTATTTGTTGTCTACGTAATTAGGGTCATCTATTAAAAAAAATATATGAATTATAAATTTAGCTTAAATTGTTTCTGCAAGTGACCCTCAATTGCCCATCAGTTTAGGACGCTGCTATTCGATGAAAACGGCAACCACGTAATGCTAATTGGGTGAAAAGCAAGGTGAACGTAAAATCACAATCACACGTTATAATCACAGTTTAAAAAAATCACATCCATAGTTTTTTTCAATCAGCTCATCACTAGTACAGAGCATTGGGTCTCCAACATGATGCCTTGAAAATTGTTTCAAGCTTGCCAACAACCACTCAAAAATTGAGAAATTTAAAAATTGAGAAAAATTAAATTTCATTATATTTTTGAAAACTTGTTCTAAAATTAAATAAGCTACTTTTTCCAGATATAAACTTCATATTCAAAATATTTTATCATTAAATTATCAGAGAGGTTTTACGATATTTTTGTATCATTCAGATGGTTCTAACTTTTCTAGAAATATTTTTAAGAATATGCCGAAGAAATTAAGACTATGCCCAAGTAGGAGCGGAAATTTTCTAGTGACTAACTGTGGTTCAAACAGTCGAATTTTTACGTTCTAACTCAAGATGTAGTGATGTGTATACTCTTTTGATGTTTATTTCTATTTCTGTACTTTACACATGGCTTAACTAATTCCGTTTAAATGCTTCAGCATAACAATAGCTATCTGCGGAGGCAAATATAAATATTTTACTCATACTTTATTTAACTTTACCTCATTTTGTGATAATGTCAATTTTGTGTCTCCGGTAAGTAAGAGCTGTAATTAAAACAAACCATTCTAGAAAGGATGATGGGAAGGCATTAAGAGCGGAAATCAGTGCTAATCTTTTTAAGTCGGTTCAGTCAAACGTTAGCCAATCTATTTTCCCTAAGATTGTTCTGATATATTCCGAACTATGGTCACCAAGCTTAAATTTGGATTTATAATACTTGATACAGATATAATTTTACATACATTAAAGTTTTGTTAAAATATCAAGAGAAAAGTGTTCATGCCGGCACTATCTGTTTTAAATCCAAATTTATTTTGGTGACCGTATTTGAGAGCAAATAAAGTTAACGTAGATGTTCTGCATGATCTACATACCCTGAGTTGCTCGTCTGTGGCCTTGCTGATATTCTTCTTTGCATCAAAGTAAATATCTACAGGACGGTTCATTAACAATGAGAAATCCGGAAACTGGAGATAAGTATAAGACCTCAAATGGTAACCATTGGCGCAAGCAAGTGTTATCGGAAATACAGTTCGAGAAAAGTCGTAATTTTCATTCGTCTTTTTGGATGACAAATAAGATAAGTGCTGCAGTTTGCACGTTGCTTATAGGAAACCCTACTTGCACAATTAAAGTAATAACTTGTCACCCTGTACTTGTACTATGAAATTTGAATCGATACAGAAAAGTCAAATAATTTCCACATAAATTGACTATTCGTGTTTCATATCGATATTTCGATCGCTTGTTGAGAAAATTGGATTCATCGAACACTACGGTCTGCCGCTTTCAGAACCCACTAGGCATGCCGATTAAATTTAAATTTAAAAAATGGAACAAATTTAACTGATAAAACTAAACTAACGAATTAAAGATGTCTTATTACATGCACTGTCGAAGAACGATGACCTATTTATGGAGACATAAGATAACAGTTCGGTTCTGAAAAGCGTACACCACAGAACTTGCACTATGTTCCCCTATTTGCCAATAAAACGAGCGATATAAATTCGTGCGAAAAATCCAATGATTTCAGTACGGTACTGGTGGTACTCTTACAATATTAACGGGCTCAATCATCTCTAAATTCAATTAAAACCCCTTTTGTCAACTTAACTACTGTACAAACAAGTTTAACTGCTTTCGGTAGTCAACAAAATTATTCCATTCAATCCATTGCCCCAGAGGGGATTTATTTCATTTGATCAGTATTGAGAAAAATGAGGGAGTTGGGAGTTTAACTTATGTTTAGAATTTTGACGATTCTTGTAGTTTTGATAGTTGTCATTTTCGTAGTTGCTCTTTTCTATTTAGATATGAATTTTTTGGTTTCCATCGGTTTGGTTTACGTTACCGCTGTGGCTAGTCAGCCGATTAGTGATAACGATAGTCTTCGATTAATTAGTGTGGTAAGTTTCCTAATTTTATTTGCTACATTTTTTTTGCCTTAAAATTGAGAACTTGATTATTTATTGATATAAATAGCAGAGGAATTAATTGTAACATTCGCTTGATGACTGTAATTGCAGTGGAATTAAACATTACCAGGCTAAAACAGATAATGAAGCGTTGAACCAATTATTGAACTCTTAAATTTCCACTAATATGAATCTGATATGTGCGATCATACAAAACATGATAAATTAGAATCTATGCTGACATTCCAAAAGTCGTAAATAATTATATGGTGCTTTAACTAGGCACTTTGCTTCATATTTTTGAACGAATTAACCTTTTCGAATTAGTTTTATTTCTTTCTAAGTTCTTTTATTTCTTATGTTTTTATTTCTATTGTTTTTTGATAATCCGGTACAATTTTAGAGTTGATTTATCTCTGTTGTTGATTAACTTCAGTTCAGGCCAGTTTTAGCAGGTTTAAAAAAATATTTTACACAGCACCTACCTGTTCATATTATTTACCTTAATGTGTGCTAAAACGCAAACTTAGAGCAAATCCGTAAAAACGAAATGAGCGAATTCTAAATTCCGTTTATAATTAGTTGACATCACTTGGCCGTTATTAATTAACACCAGCCGAATTAACACTTCGAATAATTTAACGCAGCTAAAATATTTTCCACCCGAAAGCCTCAAGGTATTAAAAATCCGGCATACTTTTTGTAGCAGAGAGATAATTAATGTAGGTATGTAGGTATATGCGAGTGTATTTTAATCCGTCTGGTTCGAACCACTTTTGTTCTTCATAATAGAAGTCTAAAAATTCTGAATTCAGTTGAGATGAATAATAATCGAGAATTTGAAATCCTGTTCGTCAATGTTAAGTAGTTTTCATACCTAAAAAATTGTAAAAAACTGGATTGTTACATAATAAGCAGCAAACCATTGGGATCAAATAAGGAAATGAGTTGCAAATAATACAGTTTAAATAATGTTAAGGAAACTGCCTACTTACTTTTTTAGAAAAAAAACTATAGGTCAATTTAGAATTGAATAATAATCTTTATTACTTGGCATATATCGGTATATCTTTCCCGTTAGGAACATTTTTCAAAATATTGCAAATTTCATGTTTTTCCGGTCGGCTTTTTAGTTGATTGTCATATCAAATTTATTACATTTCTTATTAAAACCAAAATGATGTTTACACAAATATCCGCTATCGAAATTTGGATTCCATTATCTATGTAGCCCAAGGAGAGACATTTTGTGCCAATTTTTGCTAATGAATTTCTAACAGCCGATTTTCATTGTGCTGCTATACGGGGAGATTCATAATTGGCGTCATTCCTCGAGGGATGTTGACTGGGGTTGTTTAGGGAGTACCTGTTGCATCTTAATTATCAAAAACTCCAGTAACAATGGGATTCGTTAAATGTAGGAATGTTTTTTTCGAAATGTCAACATTGTCAACGATAATTTGTACTTTCATTGTCATAACCCCAAATTGATGTGTTTACAAAAATACGTACATACGGGCCTTAACAACTATGTGTTCGGATGACGCTCAAAATTCTAATTGAATAATCATCATGTAAAGTTTAAATATATTTTTTTTATTTGCAGTAGAAATGTTAAAAAATTCATGACAAATAAATATTCCGACGTGTTTTTGATTGACCGGAAAAATCAATATTACRCATGTATCTGCTAATAAACASTTTGAGTTGGATAAGTTTCATACTTTCACATAAAAGCATGATAAAATAACTCGTGGTGTTGCAACAGATAAAAAGATTCTCTAAATTATKATTTCTCATTACAGTAAAGGCAAATCAATGCAGAGACTTGCAAATGATCTAAATATTGTTCATTGGGTTCAGGCCGACCCCGTATTTTTTCTTGAAAGAGAACGTTGTGTACTTGTAAAGGTCCACAGATCCAACAGAAGTGGCATACATACCCTACGGCAAATTCAAGCTCACACTGTTAAAAAAATAAAATCTGATTTTATTGTCAGTCAAATTAATTTAAGTTTTTTCCACGTAACTGAAAGTTCRGATACCTCATATAAAAATGTTTTTCGGGCTTTGAAGCCGTGGTCCATGGGAATTTCTTCCTTCGTAACTTAACTTCGAGGTAACTYACGTGTTTGCTAATTTTTATTTTTGTAGTTTTTAAGACATGGTGCTAGAACTCCGGAATTTAAGGACACCTACCCTAATGATCCATATAAGCTTGACACGTTCCAGCCCATGGGATGGGGACAGCTTACCAATGTGAGTAGCCATTCCATATTAAGATTAAAAATATAACACGTTTATTAAACACATTTATACACGTTTATATAACATAACACGTCATGTTTTATAATTTCCTTTGAAATATATTTATGAACTTCAGGGCACTCATTAGTATTGCTGTCTCATGCACGTGCTTTTTCGTAATTGACATTGATTCATATCAGGCATAAAAATAATTAATGCTTATTCTAGTTTAATTGTTAAACATTTTCAGCATGCAATGGAATTTATTGACTGCACGTTTGAAACCTTGTAATATTTTAACCATCGAATAGTAATTAAATTATG